TGTTTTAATTTATCATTAGGTTTATTATTCTCCCGTGTACTAAATGCACGTCTTTTTACAAAATCAAATCCCCTTTTTTCATTGTTGGTAAATCTTTGATTTAAATTATCATCGGATGCAAACTTACGAGATAAGTTTTCATTAGAAGAACTTGGAGACATACGCTTTTTTCCAAATAAAGATTCACTATCACTAATAAATACATCTTTTATTCTTCTCAATGATTTACCAATACCAGTTTCACTTTCACGCAACGAGAATTTTCTACGAACTTTATTTTCATCATCTATTTGACCCAATTGTACTATTGGTATTGTCTTAACGTTAGACGATGTAGAAACTAATTGTGGTCCTGATATAGTTTTTATTCCTGTATTCTTTTTAGTCCATTTTCTTAATGGACGTTGTTTATTATTATTATTATTGTTGTTGTTGTCATTGCTGCTGTTGCTGTTGGTGGATTGAGGTTGTGTTTGTTGCGATTGATTCATATTCTGAACTCTTCTCATGACCATTACTTGATGAGCAATATCTGACTGACCCGAAGCTATTAATGTATCAGTAAGAGACAAAGGAGGTGGGTGCGGTTTTGGTGGTGGTGTTACCTTTCCACGAGATGGATTTTTCACCTGAGATTCCGTGGTAATATTTGACGTGCTTGAGATAGTAGTCATACCTGTCATGCTAGTAATATTAGTCATATTAGTCGTATTAGTCATACTTGAAGTGGTTGATTCTCTTATTCCTGGTTGTTCATTTTCTGCTTCATCATCTCCTTCGTTATCAATACTATCATTATTGTTGCTACTATTGCTATCATTATTGTCATTACTGTCATTCAAATTATTAATATTACTATTACTACTATCATTACTATTATTACTATTATTACTGGAATTGCTGGCATTACTATTGACGGTTCTAATTCTTTTCAATGATGACCCTATCGTTGATGTGGTTGACGCTCTATCAGAATTGTAAATATTTTCATTTTCAAAATTCCTTAATGAATTGATACTAGGTGATTTCTGTATTGATGATTTTATTTCCTCCTCTTCGATAAATGGTGATACTTCCAATGAACGTGGAGATGTTTGTGATAAGTTGCTTGTTCTAAATGATGGTGAAGTGGTAGACCGGTTTGATGATGTTTGAATTGTAAGATTATATAATCCTTCTGATAATTTATCTAACGGGGAACGTGGTTGTTCAAGAAATATTTCATCATCATTATCATAAAAATCTGTTTCTCTTGGTGATAATCTGATTGGTGAATTTTTTGTAGGTGAAATTTGTTGCGTTGATTTTACAAAATTTGTTAATAATAATGACGGAGCGTTAGAAATTGTAGTAAATTCATTTTGCCATGAGAACCCTTGCTGTACTTGTGATATTGACGGTGGTCGTATTCTTGGTAGCTTTGGTCGACCCTTTGTTGGATTTATTAATAACCCTTTTGAAGATATTCTCCTTAAATTCTTTACATTAACTATATCTGTATTTATGATTTCGTTTTCATCATCATCATCATTATTTACACTTGAGACACTAGATATATTGTGAATTTTAGAGGGAGGATCATAAAATTTTCTAGCATTTGACATAACGTCTTGATTATTGCTATTGTCGTTCTTATCATTCTTATTGTCATTATTATTTATTGTTGGGGCAACAGATGAAGAATTACTTGACAATAATTCATGATTCTCATTTGAAATTTCCATCAGATTACCTATATCAGGGAAAGAAATCATTAGGCGAAAATGAGTATACATATAAATTTATGCAGATATATCTTGATTGCTCTATTACCTGATTCTATCTTTGATACTTCATTCGTAGTGGTGGTGTTTTCGCTAAGTAGGGAAGGTTGGGAAGCTTGTGATTTATAAATCTCTGGAGGGAAAACTTGTGTGTTAGAGCTTGTTTTCGTTGATGCACCATTATTATTATTATTTGAATTTTCTCCTCTACGTAATACACTAAATCGCTTTGTCAAAGTGGGAAGGATGAGTGAGGTACGAAAGTCTGAAGTTAGAGGAAGTAAGGGCGTTTCCGAACTAGTACTAATTTTGTTGGCTGTACTAGTTGAGACCTGACTTTCGTTAGTAGTGACCAAGTTACTAACTTGTCCTGCTAAAAGTTGTTTTTTCAAATCTTGCTTTTTTCGAAAACGATGCATTTAGTTTTTTTTTGTTTTGGTTTTTTTTTTTAGATAATATTAAATAAGCAGGGTTTTTTTTTTTTCCTTGTTAGGGAAGGAATAAGGGAAAAATAATTTAATTGTACGCCAGGTAGAAAGTAATAAAAAATAAGAAAATTAAGAAAATTAATTATTTAATTTATCTATTAATTTATATCTTAACAATATTAAAACGTTTTCTTGCGATATTGTCGATACAAATTTTTTTTTTTTTAAAAGAAGGAATGTATGAACTACAGACGGAGTACAATTTTGTAAATAAGGAGTGGAGTGAAGGGAAATGGGAAAAATTGACTGCCCAAAAGTGAATAACTGAATCTGCGTGGTTATACGTTAACTTTTTATGTACATGTTTATAATCCTAACCAAAATTGTAATTAAAAAACGAAATTTAGAGGTGCTTTTGTATAATCAGTAACGTGGATAATTAAACTACGTAAGACAAATTAACATTATCACGTCACACGAGGAAGTAAAGATTTTCTACGCGCTTAGATACGATTAACACGTTTAAGATAATTAAAAGAATTCAGAATATCCTTAAGTTATGAATGAATGAGGAAAAAAAAAAAAGAATAACCAATAAATGAAATTACTTCATTTATTTATATCAACTTCGTTATTTATTTTTGATTAATGCATGTGTGACTGATTAATCTCAAATATGTTTATTTTTCCGAACTTTTTTTCTCCAAACTTAGAATTTAGAAGTTGTGTTAATATAATGTTTGACCAATAATAAATTCGAAAATTAAATATAATTCATTCCATTCCACGAATGACTTTTAAAACTGCGGCAATTAAATTCCGTTTCATAATCCGGTCCATAATCAAGATCGAGTTTAGTATAAATTTCAAAAATTTTGATAACATGGAAGAATCTTTTTTTTCATAAAAGATAATTATAGGATTATTATTATTATTATTATTATTTTGTTGATCGTATTACTGCGGCAAGCATGGTAAAATATTCCTGTATTAAAGAAACTTTGAACCAATAAGATTTTAGAAAAAAACTTTACAACTAAATAGGTAATAGCTTATAAAAAAAAAAAAAGGTTGTTGAATAATCAATCTAGCTTAAAACAACTTTGTACATTTATTTATTTTTTTTCAGAGTCGATCATTAAATTTAATAAATGTTTCGGAGATGGGGTTTTTTTTGGCTGTTTTTGGATATCTTGATCCGTAAAATCATCAGATTAATTAAATAACTTAAAAAGTTAAAAATGCTAGATAAACATCGGCTGCTGCGCCATGAATTAGAATCGCCGGAGAGATCAAAACCACTTTCACAGAATTGTTTTTTAACTGATTCCTCTAATTGGCCTTTAAAAGAATCATAAACTAACATAGTAGGATCCTTTCGAGTACCATATTTTTCCTTTATTTCATTAAAGTAATCCACATACCTT